ACTTCTCTATCCAATAAAAAAATAGATTTTGTGGACTTCTGTTTCTCTTTTGATGGAGTGCACACTTTCTGTCTGTTAGTCCGTTACCCATTTATCAGCCATACTCTCAAGTTTCTCATTACTTCAGAAAGTTATTACAATAATTAGGTTTTGTATTCTTTGTACTTCTACATTTTTTGTAGAAGTATATTTTATATGTCATACTGAAATTGTGCACTTTTGAGCATATGCCTCTAAAACTGTATTGCTTGAACTATCTAATTGATCTTATCACATGTAAAAATTTATTTTCCTTTATCAACCTAAATAGGCCTTCAGATTACTGTTTTATTGTCTGGCATTGCCTTTATCTCTATTTATGATAAGATGTAAAAGACATGAAGAAATACACACTGCAGGCTGTCCAAATGAATAAATCCAGTCAAAAGTCATATGATCAATTCTGCAACTCAGGAATATTCTTATTGTATGAAACAGGATTTACTATTTTTGCAGAAAAAAATGTAATTTTTCAGTATCAAGCATCTTCCAAATCTGTTTGTAGTTTGTCTCTTCATTCTCCCAACGTCCAATATTCAAACAAATCCTGCAATGAGTCTCTAAAATCAWGCTGTTAAAAACAAATAAATTAAAAAATCCAACATTTATTCTTATTTGTTTCCTGAATGTAAAGACTCCTAGGCTTGTATGTTTTTTCTCTACAACCAGTTTCTAAGGTAGTTATAAAGCATCTCCTTGTTTGTTTTAAAGAGAAAGCTGAAATTCACATCTATTCATATAATTCTTCATGAATTATGTGAATGTTTTTAAGCAGAAAACCAACTATTTTTATAAAACTCATAACTATGAGACTGTGAGAAGAAAGAATAAAATGAAACACCAAAAAAAATACAAAATTAATCCAAATAATTGGAACTTCTTTTCCAAACAACTAATTGGAGGAGTAATTGTGAAGTATCTCCAGACACCTTGTATAAGAGAAAGCTGAGTGTGTTTAGAGTATTCTGTTTATTAAATTGTCAGAATACTATGAAGTGCTAATAGGAATATTTGAAATACTATTACAAAATTATAAAAGGGGAGAATTAATACCTGTTCTCAAAAGAATTCTAGAAGAGAGAAATATGGTCTAGAGAGCTTGTTAGCTAGATCACTATGAATATAAGTCAATACTTTCTGAAATGGTTAGATGTCCTTCACTGCACATAACAGTRATATCCTTAGGACACAGCTGTAGCATGAGCTTAACTCAGAACTCAAGGCARTACCTAAAGCTCATCAACAGAGAATGTACTGCAGAGGATTCTGGTAAGCATGAAATACCAGCATGCCCATCTACCTTTGAACCAGCATTTGGTACTTGAGTCACTGGATTATTTAACAGAAACAATAACCAAAGAGAATTACAGCATTGTAGGGGCTACATCACATGCCTAGTTGGTGYCGACAGCCTACAAGTGTTACAAGACACTGGCTGTTGGTATTCCCTCAAATAGAGKTTTTTTCAGATATGCTTCTGCACATCTATTGTACCTGTCCTACATAAAAGATGACAATTGCCTATTGTATAYGTCCTTCAGTGGTGAACATGGTGTGCAGACAGAGTGAATGAGGTGCCTGAAGGAAAGTTAAATTGAACATCTCAGGGATTAGACCTCCCTTTTTAGTGAATGTGGCCCTCATGCCCACCAATTCTTTCAGACACAGTTGCTTTTATCCTCTCCACCCCTTCAGAAGAAGTTTTAGCTCTCAGTTYTCATTAGGAAAATCAGTGAATAATAACTAGAACTGTTGTTATTGTTATAACTTAGGGGCCAAAACTAGTAAAAGACAATAGAGGAATTTTGTTTAATTCTAGAAAATTGTGCATTTAAATATTTACTACAAGTAAATGTGCCAAGTGGAAACTTCCCCCGCCAAATATTTTTTTCTTACTGGCTAGCTCCTACTGTGCCTGTCTCAGCACGTGAGAGCTCATCCAGTGAATATACAGTACTAAATATGTTTTGCAAGCAAGTTAAATACTGTCCCTGTCTTTCTTGCTTTGCTACACTTGTTTTGATCCTTCCTGTAAAGACTAACCATCTCTATCATCTTTAAGAGATCAAAATTACAACCCAAGATACCAAATATCAGGCAACTTAATAGCAAACAGACATCCAAAAATGCTGGCTAGCCGAGCTAATGTAGCTCTTGAGCTAAATTAATTCAGCAAAATTTCAGCCATTTTTTTCCCTTCAGAACATGACAGCACTTGGACAAGCACACACAAAATACTTTGTCAAGAAAGGACTACCATTGAAAACATAATCTAAGTTGAATTCAGGAAGGGACAATTGCTACCTCWGTCTCTCTTCTCCTACTCCCCACCCCACCCCTGAAAATAAACCAGACATCATTGTTTGGATTTTTGGGGCTTTTTTTTYMAAAAAAAAAACCCCAAAATCGTCTGTGGACACTCTCAAGTAGAATGGGAAAAAAAAAGAAGACCAGAACATTTTTTCTTTTATTCCTGAGATCAGCTAGGTCAAAAAACTTAGAAACCTACTATTAYGCAGCATTATATAGAAAAATATATTATATTACCTAAGAATTACACAGCTATTTCTTAATCCACAAATTGTCAAGTACTATATTATAGCATGGGAACMAAGTCTTGTAATCAGCATCTTTGTCTGATAGATTTCTACAGATGTCCTAAATCAAATTAGCACTGCAAATATTTAGGTTTTATAAAGGATAAAGTTTTACTTCTATACCTCYAACCTTCTGGAAGGTTGTCATAGCTCCTTCTGCAGATCACTGAGTTCAAGTCCACCACTCCAGCAGAGTGGACACATTTTGGAGGAGCCATAAGTGCTCCAACACATGCAAGAATTTTTATAAATTCTCCTACAGCCTCAAATTCCTGCAGCTGTCTGAAAACTCCACTTTCTTTTTGCCTAAAAGCACTTCCAGTCCCTGTTCCCTGTGGGTTATCCAGAAAATATTAAATGTGACCAACACAACATAACATCTCTAAAACCTAAGTACAGAGACCTCAAGGAACAGGCAGCCTAAAAACATCATTATCATCGTTATCAACTTTGCCTTCTGTCACAGTACCATGAGCYAGAATTGCCTTGAATTATGAAGTGAGTTCTTGTATGCCTTTTCTGCTTGAGGCTCTCCTTCCTCCCTTCAGTCTCTCCTTCTCTGAGATGCTGCTTTTGCAAGAYATACTGAAAACAACAGATGAACAGCACACCATTACAACAACCTCATCAGTTCTGCTGTGAACCTGTTCAGTCTTTGGGAGAAGTCTACTGCATACAAGTCTGAAGTACACGAAAAAATCAGAGCTCCTAATACGTTATGCCAAGGTCTTATATCCACCTATGAACCTGCAGCTCCCCTTCATGTGGTGCTCTTTGATACAGTTTGCAGGGCATCACATCCACCATTTATCAGCAGTAAAAACTGRAGCCTGCCTCAGAGAGAAGGTAAGTTCATCCAGGTTTTCTCCTCAATCCTGCACTGTTTCCTAAATCTCTCTTTGCAGCATTCCTGGCTCTTTGGACTGGAAATCATTAAGAATAATGAAAATTTCAGAAAAGGGGTCACTATTGATGAAGATAGGCAAGCAGCCAGGTTATTATACCTCAAATCTGTATTTTGTATGAATTCTTTTAATCCCAGAACTAACTCACCCTCTCTGCATTTCAGAGTAGGCATGTCAAAGGGATGACTGAGGTTTAAATAAAAACTATGCACGGGATTTCCCTGGCATCTCGTTTGAAACAAAAGAGCAATCCCACTTAAGTGGAAGTGTGGACATGTGGAAGGGGAGCAGGCTTGCAATCTGCACTCCCTCACCCTGACCCCACAGGAGCCAGGCCTCTGGGGCTGTGCCTGTTGCCTTACCCTAGAGACAGGCTCCATTCTCCAGGGCAGATGAATGGTATGTGTGGCATCAGCAGCACAAGGCATGCTGGGGCACCACATGGAGGGAAGCTGGCAACTGTGTGTAGCTGCTCTTGAAGAACCTGGAAATAAGGGTGAAAAATACAGACTAAAAAACCCAAATGTAYAGATATAGGATTCTCTACTGTTTGCTTAGCATGGGGGTGCTTAGCGTGCAACTATTTCTTTGGCAAGTTTGCTACTGCCTCACTGTACTAATAAACCTTTGACAAAGTTTGAACTTTTCCTCCTCCTACCAAGAAGTTTCAAAAACCTAAACTGAATTAGGTGCTTCAAGTTTGTTAGAACTAAAATTAAACCCAAACACCATGCAGAAAGCATTCTTTCAACTGTTCCATGGAGAGAAAAGTAGCCAAGTGAACATAACAAACAAAAATATTAATGTTTCCTTATTCTGTCTTAATTGTCTAGTCTGGTTTAGAGAAAGCTAAGTGATTCAAGAGTACTTTACAAACAGCAGTTCTCTTTGAGCAGCATGCGGTGCAASTTAAGCCCTGTTAGCTCCAAAGCCAAGACTCCCTAGAACAGGTACCTAGCATCGAGATCCAAGAGTGTTATTAGGCATCTAAACATCCTCCTTTTCTGTGTAATCAGGGGAGCTCCCGGCCCTATGAGATCACAGGGCGCCTGCCTGAGAGGGTTAAACAGGGTCACTGAGATAATGTGGATTCAGAACCCAATTTTGGTCCTTTCGCAGGATTATTAGGGTAGGAGGAAGGGCAGGAGGAGGAAGGGCAGGCCACGGCTTCGTCTGCAACGCGCCTCGGCCGGGGCCAGACCAGCTMCGGGGGGCCGCGCACCGATTCTCCATCTCCGTCCCTCCCCGGCCCACGCCCGGGCTGCTCCGGGAAAACTCTTCGGGACATCGTCACTCTTCGTCGGCCAATTCTATCCCAGGCACTTCCCGGCGCAGCCTGCCCGGTTCCTCCGCCGCCGGGGCAAGGGACGGAGTCGCGCGTTCGGGCTGCGCCCCGGGGGCAGCCCCCCCAGCCGGCCCCCAGGGGCTGCCGYGCCTCCCGCCCCCCGCCAGCACTCACCATATTACAGATGGAGGCGATGTTTCTGACAGTCATTAGTCTAAAGRTTGCAGCGATCCCACACCGCCATCTTTATAAGGTGAAAACAGCCCCGCTCATGGTGGGAAGAGCGCAGGAAGGGATAGGGGGCGGCGGCGGCTCCTGCTCCGGGGCTGGGATAAAAGCAAGAGGAGGGGACTGCACAGGCACCCTTTGCGCCCGCAGAGCAGCGAGAAGGACGGACCTTCCCGGCCTCCCTTCTCCGGCGAGTGACCGGGATCTTCAGCAGCGCGGGGAGAGCGGCCGCATCTCCGCTCCTTCCGCCTCTGCTCTCGCACGGTCCGCAGGGCCSCGGGCTCCCGGCTCAGCCGCGCCTCTGCGCCAGCCGGCACCGCGCTAATCTCTCCCTTCCTCCTCCTCCTCCTCKTCCTCCTCTCCTGGCGGCTGCCGTTGCCGCTCGCCGCTCCATCGCAGCGCCGCGCCCGCTGATCCGCTCTGACAGCGCCGGGGCAGGCARGGGAAGGTCAGAGGCAGTGCCCGGCACGGGGCACCCCGGCGGGCCCGGCGGGGCGGCCGCCGCCGCAGCCAATGCGCTGCGGGGCCGAGGGGGCGCGGGGGGGCTGCGCCCGCCGCCCCTCCGGACGGGCGATCTGAGAGGGGCCGATCTGCCTCAATCTCCGGGCCTGCAGTGGCCATGAGGCTGCGAAACGGCCTCAGCGCGTACGAAACCATACCACCAGGCAGTAGGGTGAAGGACAGGAAGGCAGAGTGCGGGCAGGAGGACGTGGATCTGTGGCAGTGACGGCGGCACTGTGCTTTTGGACATGCTCTCTCCACCTAATTAGAGGTACACAGGAGCCCAGGGTCTTGCAAAACCCACAACAGTAGTCTGGAATGTAATTTACTGCCCACAGTTGGTGCTTTGTATTGTCGTTCATGCAGATTAACATTTATCTGCACAAATGCTGTTTTGGGATTGGGTCTACACMACGTGTGCAAGTGCTCACTCACAAGTTCACAACATGTGGCATTTGTACCACAGGGTTAATGTAATAATCTCAGTTTCTCTGCAAACACAAGCAAATCGAGGCCCATGTCTTTCTCCAAGGTAGAGCAGTGTGAGTGTATTAAATTTACACACGTGATAATAGGCACAAGGTTGTTAAATAACTAACTTGAGGTCACATAGCAAATCTCTGAGAGAAGCAAGAACAGAGTTCAGTTCAGGCAATCCTCATCTTAGAATTCCCCTTTCCTTAGCAGATGTTGCTTTTTTTTTTTTTTTTTTTTTTTTTTTTTTTTTTTTTTTTTTTTTTTTTTTTTTTTTTTCCTTAGCAGGAGCTTAAGGCCCATTTATTGTTGCACTGCTATGCTGAGGAAATCATTCAAATGAAGAGAGAAAACTACTGACATTTCTACAGACACCTCTGCTCCCTAGAGCACCTGAAGTGTGGCAGAGACATGCYTGGCTACGCATTTCATTTCATGATGCTAGAATAAAATAATTTCTGCCTAAAGAGCCTGGGTCCACAGGCTTTATTTACAGGAAACATTATGAAGTCTATATTTTTTTTTAACTATTATTTAAAAAGAAGGTGTATGATTACTAGTAAAAATCTGGCRTCAGCAATCACATCTAAAGATAAATTCCTACCCTGAGAATACTGTTAGGTAAGTGGCCTCAATCCAGCTTATTGTGGAAAAGCACCCACTTTATAAAAACGGTATCAAATTCGGCGTTAGTTGACAGTTTCAGCAAAGAAAATCAAAATGGAGTTGTCACAGAGACAGAACTTCCTTTCCTCAGTAAGTCGGATTAGTTACATTAWATTATTGCAGACATTCAAAATACAGGATGGAGAAAGATTTTTGGASATAATGGAATAAAATCCTCAGGGCCACTAAACTGCATCATAAATCTACAAATCWCTATACAAAAGAGCCATCACATAACATCACTGAGAAAAAAAAATCTTTGGTATAATTCTATTAAGTTCAAGGTCTTACAATTATGTGTGAATTTGATCCCAAGTGTTTAATTTGCTTAAACTCAGAGGACTGGATTACACAAAGTATCACAGGTTTTCTCAACAAAACCGGGGAAAATGGGAGGTAAGCCCACATGTCAAGACTGAAGCAATCAAGATCTGATCAGTCTTCAGTGCATTTCTAAGAGACTGGACAGTACTGCACTGTACCTGTTTTTTAAAGTCTGATATCTTTATTCAAGAAGCCTAATCATGTATTCTTTGCTGCAGCCCACTTATTCCAATTTGCTGTGGAAAATCATAATTGCTCTCTGTGAAAAGTTATAAAGCAAATGAATGGGTTTGAAAGGTGATCAAAAATTTAAATGAAACAAAATGCAGTATCTCATAAAGCCATTTGCCTCATATATGTTTTAATGTCAATAACATTATTTCCATAATACAAACCCCAAAGAAATCATAGAAAGTGTGAAAACAAAAGATAAAAAAGTCTTATTTTCATAATTTTGCTTTTCTCAAATGCCAATTACTTGACTTCAGGCTAGGTTTTCTGTTGTTTCTGTTTGTTAAACTTTTTTTTTTTGGACACAAAATTAAATTGCTACTAATTAAGACTTATTGGACTTATTAGTTGTCCAAGGAAATGCTTGTAAATATGTACATACATCATTCTGTGAAGAATTCAGTATCATATTCCTTAATGTTAATATGAATACTTTCATTTAAAGGTGGACCCATTTATGATATACTTCTGAAGATTAATAATAAAAATAGGGAATAATATTAAAGTGTTTACATGTCAGTTTGACAACAGTCTAGCACTGGCTTTTCTCCTCTTCAGACATATCAAAATAGGAAAGAGGAAAGAAACTTTCATGCTTGACATGGACTGATATATGTTTTTATTTTCTTCTTCTGTTGTCATTTTCCGGAATAGAAACTTTATTTCTGTAGCCATTTGAACATAAAAATGTGCTAAGCAATGCAACAAATGCCAGTTACAAACTTTATAGGAATTGTATAAATAAAGAACAGTGCACAATTGTTTCCACTCTAAAGCATTGCCCTATCTCTTTACAACAAACAACTAACCCTGTGTTTTTTCTGAGTGTTAGACAAAGAGAAGGAAAACAAAGGACTATTTATAACCTAAGAGTGCTTATATAATTTCTGTTTAAAGGTCAAAAAATACCTCCTGCATTTAATTTTAGAACTGACTTGGTCTCATCTGGCTAWATACTTGAACATTTTGATTTCACTACCTGAAACATGGATCTATTGTAAATATCCTTTTTGGCTAGCAGAGCTGTGGACTTCAGTAACAGTTTCCATGTGACTTTTTCAGAGTACTTTGCAAGTAGTCACTCAAACTTGTCAAATTATTGTGTGGCAAGGTAATATTAGCTTCTTTTACAAAGCAAGATAATAGGCAGCAGAACTTTAGTGAGTTGTCCAAAGTTAYACAGGAAAGTTGGTAGCAAATCTGAGACTGGAAATCTACTCATTCTGTGCTGCAAAGAGGATATTGCATTTCCTCTCCAGAAATCTTGGAAAATTCCACAGAGAGTTCATTTATGTTTTTCTTGTAATGAACTTGGGTCCACTAATGGAGAGACATCAGTGAGTTTTGCTGAACAAGTGTTTGGAACAGATCAAATTTAGGATGTACTTCCAACAAATTAAAAGGTCATTTTAATGGAAAAGGCAGTTAAAACAGTACTCAGGTTTTCTGGAAGCATGAAAAATATATGAGGAGAATTAAAGGAGAGTTCAGATATCTGAAATACTTTCAGTGCTGACAATGTAGGTTTAGAATTTTACAAACTTTTTAAAATATGTTTTGTATCTCCAATTATATTCTACCAAAAATAGCAAAATATCTTCAACAAAGTGGCAAATGTGTTGACATGAGAATGAGAAATTGGGATTTTCAGTGAGGCTTGGCCCTCACTGCAGAACAGACTGGTGGCTTTAGTACAATGCCAAATGCCAACTTAAAGTCTATGGATTGAATCTGTSGCACATGGCTCATAGCAGGTCTATGGAAACCACGCCATCTGCACCTGAAATTCTAATGGTAAGAGCGAGTTATAGTCCATGAAAAATTCATGGAAATCCAAAGAAAATGTGGAGAGTCTACAACCAGTAAAACAAGTTTGAAATTACTATTTTTCTTTAAGACTGTCATCATCAAAGCAACCMCTACCCAACATTTTCAGATTACCTGAGAAATTATTCCTCTTGATTGAAAATACTGTAAAACTTCATATTTTGGTGACAGTTTGACTTGTCGGGATTCTAAAGACAAAGCATGAAAAATAAAACTSTATTAAATTGACTCCTGAATCTTGCCTACCTTTTGCTAATATAAACATCTTACTAGTTGGCAAGTAGAGAATACCATTTCTTCATTTTTCTCAGAACTTGCTACTTTATAGAAGAAAACAATACATATTTACAGCATCTGACCTCATCTTTTTTTGGCCAGATATCAGATGTGAAAGCCCAAAGACAGCAGAATAAGACATGCAGATACATTAATGTTGATGTACCAAAAGCTGACTGAGTAGATACAAGGGGTCTAATAGTTCTCTAGTGCAAGCCATTAAATGCTATTCTRTGAAGAGGCTGTTAAAGCCTCTGCAGTCAGTTCAATAATGACCTAGAGGTGTGATTATCTCATAATATCTTACTCTTGTTCTTTTCCTTCTGCTTAATTTTGTTTCAAATACACTGTGTTAAGAGTTTGGAACAGTGACAATAAGAGAACTTCAGTGTATTGCTTCATCAATTCAATAATGCTAACCTTCCCTACACTCACCACTCAAATAAAAATATTCCTGCCTTTGCAGAAGGTAGAAGATTGAAGATTAGCCTCTTTATCAGGTATTTTATTTAGCAAGGGAGCTCACTGGCAAACAAAATGTGATCTAAGGTGGAAGAATACTATTTAAATTCTGATCATATATATTGGCTKTAAAGAGCCAAAAATTTTAACCATGGAAGTAATTCATCAAACAAAAGAAGACTCACTGAGCAAAAATAACAGGAACCTGAAGATTCTAAMAGAAATATATTCCTATTTCTGTCTCTGGAAAAGAAATAACAATTCTGGCTTGCCCTCCCCTTCTCCAGAGATTCTATTTATTATTTTTATTCTATTTTAAAGGCTCGAATTTTAACTCAAAGACATTCTGAGGGCATAAAAACCTAAGGACAGATAGACAGGTAAGCTGCAAGTGGCATTTAATCTATTTTCAGAATGAATTTAAAATAGCCTTTTCCTTTTATTAAACTGTGCATAAATTAATTAAATTACATTTTTATTATCATAAAAGTTTTGATAATAAAACTTTGACCATCTCAAAGTTTTAACCAAATTACATATTTATGTATATATATATATATATAAATAAATAAAAGGCTGTTATATTCTAAAGTTCCAAACCTGACAATTATTTAATGCCACTGAGTACTGTAATCCACCTGCAAAGACTGATGGTCACATCAAGGTTTTACTTGCTTGGTTTTCCTTTATATTAGTGTGGAGAAAGATGGTAAAATTTGAATGAAACATTTATGGACATTGCGCATTGTGGTAAACTCATAATGTTTATAAACAAGTGGTTTTCAAGAGTCTTTCTTCTGAGAGAATAATCAAACCAGTAACTTTGAGACTTAATTCTTGCATCCGCTAATTAGAGTACAGCTCTTCGAGATTTGAAGAAGTTAGTTCAGTTCATCCAACTCCTTAAAAAGCTCAACACTAATCTACAAAATAACCGAGACCCTGCTGCCACTTAACTAATTTCAGAACGTCCCCATGATARTTGAATTTCCTACAAATTCTGCTCATGACTAGGCCTGTATCTCCTGGTTAGTGATCCAGGTTAATCTCAAAATTAACCTGTACTCAGATCCACCAATATTGTGGTCTTTCCCACAAGTCATACCCAGATTGCAGGCAGATTCAGTACCCAGCTGAGAAGTTCATTCAGATAAAAGTTACCTCCCAGAAACATGGAAACAGCAGATCTGCCTGCAGCCTTCTAGGTAACAATTCAGTGGTTACAGCACTTTTCCAGGAAATTGGGAGAAACAACCTGCAAGTAAAGAGATTCAAATCCACATCTGACCCTTGCAGTAATTTATTAAAGGACAGTTATTTTATTCTCTAGGGAGGGTTTGGAAAAGGACAGACAGTCAGGCAGCCTCTGAATTCCTTTTGTTGAAATTGAGCCACTATCAGACATAAAAGTAAGTTTCATGGAGCCAGAGAGAAGACAAACAATGCAAGCTTTGTATGGGGAAAACAAAAGAAAGCTTGTGAGGGGCAAGAAAAAGGTGTAGGATTATGTGAATGATTAAAATTCTCACCTGGGATGGATACTGACAACTGGTTTGCTGTGGTTTGCTGGTTTTCTGTGTAACAGAAGCACCAGTTTACATTCTGTAAKGGAGAAGAAGAAACCAAACTTGACATAAATCCCACTGGCACAAGTGGTAAAAATTTTAAGGTTGGATGCCACTTCATCATTTTGACTACATTACAAAAAAGGACCGATCTGACTCAGGTGTTTGACTGTAGAAAGTAGTCATTGCAGACGAGCCCATTTGAAATAACTTAAAACTACACGTCTCACAAATTTATCTCCAGAGACTAATTTACATAGAGTCCTGAGACAGGTTTGGAATCTTGATGTACAGACAATTAACTTAGCCAGCACATGGTTAATCTGCAACAACGTTTTAAGTATCAAGAATTAGACAGGAGAGGTAACTACGAAGTGCTATGAAACAATTTTTAGAGTCGTCTCCTGATTGCAACTATGTGGCTATTTGTTTCAGACTGAATCAGATTGTGTTATTTCTGTTGCCAGTAATTTAAATTCAGGGTTCAGATAACAAACAGATAGTGGGCCAACTCATTCTTTTCTTTCCACACACTTACAGGTGCTGCCCTGGCAGTAAACCAGCATGAACCGAGACATGTTGTTTCTCACTGAGACCAGAAGCTACAAATTGTCAGCAATATAYACATGATTTTGAGAAGGGACTTGCATTCAATTCAGTTTGGACAACGCTCCCAGGCACATGGTGTGATTCTTGGGGTGTCCTGTGCAGGGCCGAGGGTTGGACTCGAAGATCCTGATGGGTCCCTTCCAGCTCAGTATATTCTATGATATGCTGCGATTCCTACCTGCCTAGTTTTGCTGGGCAACATATAAAGTCTCTGTGCTGCAAATTACTAATTCCCTGTTTATGCTCATCTGCTTGTACTCACTCCAGAATCTCTTAGTAGCACCCACAGCACATTTTATCTGGGGCAGAGCAGCAGCAGTGCTCTGGCTCRCAGGACAGGCCTGGTGTCACCGTGTCACCCCTGACGCGCAGCCCAGCAGGCCTGCATATGCTCCATGTCAGGGCATTAGCGAAGCTCGGGGCTTTACCTCACCATCCTCACAAACAGCTCCTAAGCTTCCTAAGCAGGGCTTAGACGAGAGTTTAGACAGAGATCAGCGGTATTTAGTGCCTCAAAACCGCTACACAGCTGGTACTTCGCACCGAAGGCGCTTTTGTTTCCCTGTGTTAAAGGCCTCCGGGCACCCCAACTCGGCCTGGGCAGGGATGACGAGCACGTCCCCACGAAAGCCTTGCTTAAAGCATCCGTTGGGGGCACCGCTGAATGAGCGCCGCGGGGAGCGCGGCTGAGAAGCCGGATCACCCGTCAGCTCCAGCCGTGCCCTGGCTCTAGGCCAACTCAAGAGCCTCTGCCTTAGCGCCGTCCAGCCGTCCCTGCGCCCCACCCAGCCCGTCCCAGCGCCCCGTCCGGCGTTCCCACCGCCCCACCCACCCCGTCCGGCCGCCCCAGGGCCCCGCCCACGCGGGGTCACGCACGTTGGTCTCACCAATGCGCAGCGGCGGCGGGAGCCGCGCGAGGTCTCGCGAGAGCTCGGGGCSCTATTTAGTGTCCGGTGAGGCCCGCAGCGTTCTCTCTGTACGCTGGCCGTGGGCGGGGTAAGGTTGGTGAAGCTCTCAGGGGGAGTCACTCGTGCTCAGCACGGACGGACTGTGGGCCTGGGGTTTTGTGGCGGGGCTTATGTCGCTTTCCCTTCACATCTTGCCCTCCCGGAGCTTCGCGGTGCTCCGGGGAGTCAACACAGGGGGATAGAGCAACTCTCCCTCACTAAAACCCAGTGCGGAGCCCTCCCCTCCGCCCTGCATCCTGTCGTGAGGCACAAGTAGCCCCTCTCTCCATTCCCCTCCACAGGCCCCTAGCTGCCCGGCTGATGCCTCTCTCTCTTCGCAGTGTGTCCCGAGGTAGCGGCGAATGCTTCACATGCCCCCGATGGACAGGAGGCCGAGCGCAGCAGGCCTGGGCAGGGGGAAGCGCTGGCGATCTGTGCTCAGGCCTTTGGGCCCCTRTGGGTGAGGGGCGCACCGAGCTCATGACTCCTCTTACAGCCTGGGGCTGGTAAGAAAAGGCTTCGGGCTTCGGWAATGAAGGCTTTGAATTCAGATTTTTTTTTTTTTTTTAAGACGGGTGTATATGGAGGTGCTGCCCTGTACATTTGCACTCAGGTGTTCTTTGAATYGCAGGTATGGCACTGCATAGACCTTAATGCAGTCATCTGAATGACTRCATTAATTTATATAACACCTATAATTTAGGTATTTTATAGGCCATATCAAGAAAGTTGCRGTTACAACCTACAGTGTTTAGGCTGTAGGCTTTTAGAACTTAGGCTCATAACAAAAACTATTCAAACAAAGAAGAGTTTCTGATTTGAGTTTCTATGCAGCCTTGTACATCTCTTGCAGTGTCTTTTGATGTCTTTTGGTTGAACTCTGTATCATTTATAGCAAGTTTGATATTCAATATACATATTGAATATGTATGTGAGGTGATACAAGGTAACTGAATTGTCTGACAGAGATTCAGTCACATCTGCGCATTTGTAGCTTCGGTAGTGTCAGCATTAAAAGCAATCCAATAAACTTTCAGTTGTTTCTGATAAAAAATATATTAAACTACGTTAAAAGTATGTTCTATGTAGTTTAATTGGGCTAGTGAAAAGCACCTTTTTGATAGATTAAACCATTGATTACCTTTTGCTCTAGGTTTTGATTTGATAACTTCATGTAAACGACTAATGCAACTTCGCAGAAAATTACTTTCAGAACACCTAATAACCTAATAGTTATTCTGTAGAATTTAGCTTTGAGAAAGTCTGTAGTTGAATGTTATTTATAATTTTACAAATTTTTTTTTTTATGTTTAGAGGCCTCACTTAACAACTTCATGCATGACATGTTCAAGTCATGGATAATCACACCTAAATGTGAAGCAGTGCTCAGGACTTCTTAGGAATAAATAATGTGTTCTACTGGAAGGTAAGTGTGCTCTTACCTAGTGACAATTGCCAATAGTTTTAAATCTTAAACTTCGATAATTGACAACTTTCAAGTAAACTGTAATATCTCTTGAACAAATGGTATGTTCAGATCATTTTAGTTAATAAGAAAACAGTATAATATACTATACTATAATAGAATTACTCCCCTTTTATGCTTTGCCCTCTTAAGTCTGGCAGTGTCTTAAGTGGCCAACACAGAGGGGTAAAAAAGTTCTCTTGCAAACCCAGAGGTGAGGTTGAAACTCTTCTTTGGATTATGCTTAGGAGGAACACATTCATAAAACTGCTAAACCAACTTTATTGAACTGTCATTATATCTGAATCTTAATATTACTTTCATATAAATATTTTTCATTTTTCTTAAATCCCTTTGTACTTTTTAGACATATAAATGTTTGTGGACGTTACAAATTCTTAAGTAAAGAGTTTGTTGTAAATTATTTGGTCTCCAGGTATGTAATATGAAAAGGATTATCAGATGATAGTGGATGCATTGCCTTTTATATCTAAAGGAGTTTAATTTACTCCTTTCTGGAAAACGAAATGATTTAGACTGGTGAAAAACCTGTGTGGTAACTGTCAGAACTTTCTATAGATTTAATAAAAAATAGAAAAAAAATCTTAAGGAAACCTTGTGATAGTTACTGGAACTGTTTATTCTAATATCGCTGGTCCTCAGGAATGGAGTCCATGCTAATAGTATGGGAAAAGAAAATCCTGTCCTGGACAAATAATTTATTAAGAAATGCCTCTGACCCAAGGGTTAGTATAATGTAGGTTTATGTAGCTCAGCCTTAGGGTAGTTGCCTGTTTTGTGTGTGCATGACTTCAAGCTAATGAAAACTTCTTTTACAGGGATGAAAGCAGATGTTCTAAGGACTTAAACTGACAATAAATATCAGTTTGTGATTTCCTGAGTGGCTGATTTCTGACTTCATATGAGATGATTCCAGTTGTCATCTCTAATGTATTGTCTTGGAAGTGGAATTAAAGCAAGTGATGGCTAAAATTAAATGTCTTCAATGATCATATTTAAAGAGGACCCTCACCATTTTTTGAAACAGGATTCCTGACAAAAAGTGCTGCAATTTATTTGYGGATTTCTTGAAATAAAATATGAGTATGCTACCAAAAGTTGTATCCTGAGGGTTTTTTGTTAACATACTCCCTGTACCTTTAAAGCCTTTGTTTCATGGATGTAATCACTTTTGCTATCACACAGAAACATTTTCTTGCCATGTGCAAACTTCATTAAACTAAAAAATCCTAAAACACAAATCCGTTAAAAAGGCCTTTAGTCTTTTATTCTTGGTATCTGTGTCTTGTAATGCAAAAACAGTGAAATCAACCAACTCCAAAGTTACTTCATTAGACTGTATGTGCTTGCATGTTCTCAACATGCATATATTTACACATAAATAGTCAGATTTAACCCCCATCTAGCCAGGAACTGTTTACTTTTGCTTAAACATACACTAAAAGGGTTGTGTATTTAGTGATCTACTTGGTGGCCCTCTCAGCTTACCTAAGTCTGCTGTTCATCTGGGCAAAACTAAATTTGAGGGGTATACAAAWGTACTTTCTCTTCATGGTATTAAACCTGACAGTTGTCCAATTCCTCTTATGAGAAACAAATAATTTTCTTGTGTAAGTGTTGCCAATTGTTCCAAAGACCTGTCTTCTCAAGCCAGGTGCAGGGATTAGGTGTTGATGTATTCAGTCTTGCATTATGGGGTTATGGTTGTCTGTCCTGTGCAGGATTTCTAAATTGCTTCTCGCAGGTGCAATGTTAATTGATGATTGTCAGTATAGACTGATTTCTAAATGTTTACTCCTGTTTTGCTTAACCAGTAAACTTGTTTACATTTGATAGTTTGTCATGTTTTCAGTGAGCTTTCTACACTTCCAGAACTTTCTGAGGAMTCAGATGCTGGTTTAGGGTTGGAATTTTCCTTTCCAGACTTGTTCATCATGCATTAAATGATACTAAATTCCATCTGCTGCTCTGTCCGCAAGAGTCTTGTCAGAATCAAGATCTTTTGATGTCTGCAGCCAGAGTTAGTTCTTAGTATTCTGGTTTTGTTTTTTTTTATTTAAGGTAGTTACGTTGCTCTCTTTCCACTTTTTTCACCTTTATTAAAAGGAGACTTGTCTTAAATTTCAAGGAGTTTAATATAAAAATGTTCTAGGATTCGCATCTCCCTTACTGACAGCTGAAGTTTTGTGTCACTGTGTCTGATGCAGAAGATGTATTTTTCATATTAGTGGCTTACACAGTTTATTGGCACTGTGGTGTAAAAGCTTCCCAATAGAATTGCTCTGAGTGAAGTCCTAATTTGCTGTAGCTTTTGATGAAACACGCATGTGCCACTAAGTGACAGTGCTGCATGTAAGGTCCAACCTTTGCTGTTCTCTTTTTATGAGACRTCTGATTAGAAAGGTTAATGAAAACAGAGTCCATTCTAGGCATGATCTACTTTGCTGATTTCATACAGCATAAATGGAATAAGTTCAGTGGATTTAGTACATCTGGAGGGAATGAAGAATGAAACAAAGTCTACTTGAGGCTCTGGTGAACACTTAATGTTCCACCAATCTTGTTCTTCATGTAACTTAGGTGAATTTAAGGCATTATCCTTTAAAAGCTGAACTGGTTTAATGCAAAATCAAAGCAGAGACTGTAATTTCAACTAAAGAGATATCAAATTATTTCACATATTTATAAGCTTTATGACTTTACATTTAGCTATTTTTTTATTCAGTTGGGGCTATTCTATGCTGAAAGCTCATTTTGAAGAAACACTGGTTGGAATGATAAATCACTTGAGAGTACTTTATTCTATGACTTCATGAGTATTTATAAGAAATCTCTTCTCAATTAACTTTGACTTGCTCCTATTCCATCTACAAGTGTTTTAGATTATGCTAGTTCAGGCATCACTCATGTAACTGTATTTATGATACATCACGTTAAAATAGTGAAATAAAACAAAGGGATTAGTATTAGTCTCAGCAAATGAAATAGGTCTAAACCTGATAACGTTAAAATAAAGAGGGAAAGATATAGCTTTTAATCTGTACACTTCTCTGTATTGTGGCTATTGATAGCAAATTTAGAAATGCTGCTTTGGGTTTTCTTTGACTAAATCTGCAAGAAGGCTAATCTGTTCATCAAGACTGAAGACTGTCAAACAGAAGGGAGAATATTTACATATCTGTGTATTTATTCCCGTTCTCACAGACAATTGAAATTTCCTATTTCACWTCCTTTTAGTAAGTAGTTATAATTGATGAGACTTGATGATCAAAGGAATGAAGAGAAAAAGCCCTGAAGAATATGGAATGTTTATTACTTTCAGAATAATGTACTTAGATCTGGACAGTTTTCTGTGCACAGGGCTACATGCAGCAACATTGTGTTACATTTTGTGCAAGAGTCTGGCAAGACATAAAAATGCTTATTCTGTGAATTTTCAGTTTTGTGGGGCTTTATTTCGAATTGGTAAGAGTTGCTGGGAGACCACCTTGAAAGTATGATACTCCAAGAGAACTGTAGTTCTGAGGAGCCTGTCAACATTGAGCTTGTGTGACTTCTTAGTAACACAGATTCATGATCTTRGGAGTTTGTATTGCATTGTTTTTAATAATCTGAAGTTTGGATGCACATAATAATTCATGCTARAGTTAGCTTTATGACTGTTTGTGGCCTTATATTAACAAATAATCCTTACTGATATTTAGTGGGAAGCTTGAAGGTAATACTCAGTAATAATGGCTACTTATTGTCCTACATATTCTTTTGAGTTGATGGTTAGTTGAACGTGTCTTCCTTATTTTTGTCATGCCTTCCCATAATACAGTTGTATCCAGGATTCTTCAGTTCATGCAGGGAGGGTGAGAATGTAGGCTGAATTCACTTGAATCAAAGAAACAATRTGCGTGCATCCCCTGTATTCTAATTCGGATCAATGCAGGCAAACATTTCTTACCACAGTAGGGAGTTTATGAGATGGAAAAATCCTGTTTATGGTGGTTACATCTTGGATCTATATAAACCACATTTTCTTAAAACATTCCGCTTTTGGTTTCAGATGCGAGTCTCACTGGGTTTTTCCACGCATCAATACTTTTGCTTACCTCAATAAAGCTGGCCTGACATTCATTGCAGCAAGAGGACCTTTTCTGTTCAGTGGACTTTGATGTAAAGCTCAGAGATTTCTTCCTAYGCTTTGATAATAAAGTTCTATACCTTTGACTCAATGCATAAATAATGAACACTATAATACTGAAAATATTCATACTTTTTCAGTTTAGAAAAGTATAGAAGCTGTCAACAATTACTTGGCATCTTCAGATTGAACTGTATGTGTTTTCTGTAAGACAAAGTTATTTAATTGACAACACATTCTAATAAATGTGTTTCAACAAATATACTTTATTTAAAGTATAAGCAGGAAAGGCAGAGGTCTAGAAAGAGCAATGTGCATAAAAGCAGGGAATAAAAAATGCTGGGAATTCCTGCTTTTAGCACTGCCTGAGTTGGGAGACAATAGGTCATGCTGATCTCTAGTTTATTTAACATGATAACAAATGAGGTAATTTTATTTCCTGCTCAGTGATATATTGCACACCAAAGCAGAGGTGGTACGTGGCCTATGATTCAGAAWGCTTTTCAGACTTTCTCCTTCTAAGCGAGGACACACAGTTAGGAAAATGAAAGAAAATTGATAGCAGCTCTACAGAAAAAAACCTCAGCAAGCTACTCAAAAACATTGCCAACTTTAATGTTCTCAGGATTTTAGTAATGGATCYTGTTAGGCTCATTAACTTCAGGATTTTTTTCTCCTGAAGTGTAAAAATCAAATACACACAACATACTTTACTGGTAAATTAACTAGAAGGAAATAWAGCCAAGTACAGCATAGAAAAGGATGCAGTCTATTTTCAAAAATAAAGTATTCTCTTCTACATATCCAGACTCAAGATTCTGATTTCAGGTCCAGTATGGCTCAAGTTTTTAGAGYTGCTGATAGGCCATGACTATGATTTTTTTTTTCTGCATACCCAGGTGTTTCTTCAAAAGAGCTGTTTTAGATGTTGCTGTTGCTATTTCAATTTGCTGAGAGTTTATGTCTTCTCTGTCTTCTGGTGTGGGATATAAAAAAAAAACAACCTTTAAAAATGAAGAAGAAAATAATAAAACATCTGCTGCTGTACATTAAATCTGTGATTTTCATCTAGTTACACTCCTGCTATCAAGGAAAGCCACAAAGAGAAAAAAAGGTATAATAATAGAACTCATGTGTGCATTAAAAATGTTTTAAATCTGTGATGTGTTTTTATAGCAATAGTATTGCAAAACTTGGTGAAAAGTATCTCCARCAACTATAAGATGACATTAAGTCCTCACAAATTCACATAATTGCTGCTTCTTAAACTGCATAATGAGTGCAGCTATTAGAAGGCATATCAGCCACAGTCCTTTCAGTTGTTCAGTACTCCTTGTTCATGTACTGTTGATGGCAGGCCTTAAATAATTTGCGGCCTTATGCAAAAAGTTGCTGCCAGGTCAGAATTTTCATATCACCTTWTTGTAGGGAGAGCACCCTAGGTTAGGTTACCTTAAATATAGGTCATCTTCACACTGTTGTAGAGCTCATAACAATGYGCTCTGATTCCCACTTACGTTGTTTTAAGGCTGAGAAGTCTCATTGATCTAAGTCCCATCTGCTCTCTGGTTCTGAGCTGGGAAATGATAGTTCCAACTGCTGTGGCTCTTCTCCAGCACTGTTTTACCATGTGTTACTTAAAGGAAACTAGTTACACAAATAAGTAACAGARGGACTTTTTTACTCCTACTGGGGTGCTGTACCTCTGATTTTTCTTTCAAATTTATGTTTTATTGCTGTATCTGGTTTGATGCACAGTATTTGAGGCACAGTATTTCATCTGTTCTCTGCTGACTTGATACGAGACCTTTCAGTCTCAATTTTCTGTGCGTCAAAGCAGAACAAAGATCACAAGATACTTCTGCATGTTTGTCCTATTTTAAGCTCTATGCCAAATATTTCAGGTTGCCACAACCTCTTCAGGCTCCCCAGGCTGCAATGTTCCTTTGCAGCAGCCACAATTTTCACTTCTCATGGAACTTCCTCCCTYCATCCAATTTATGAACATCCAGTAGGTTTACTAGGCTATTTAAGTTTTGCTGGTACTATATCTCAGAAATGCTAAGCTGACAGAATATGGAGAGGCAACTG